ACATATAAAAATGCTTAAGTGCCATAGTATCTGCAACTGAACGTTCTGAATCAAGTTTAAGGAATTCAGCTTCCTCAAGAGCAAGATTTCGAGAAGTGGCGACTGCATCAAAATCTGTATTCTTGATAACTAAAGCTTCAGCCTTAATCTCATTACGAACTTTTTTACGATTCCCTATAATCTCTTTATTTTCGTCCATTTTTATTAATTTAAGACTTGCTCCAGTACTGGCAATAAGGCTACATGAAATCTCGATAAAATTTCTTGCAGAGAGACGTTTCCGATGCTCGACTTCAATGAATGATATTACAGCAGGTGATTGATCAAGTTTGTAGGAAATAATATCTTTATCCCATTCACGATGTCCCTTTACTGCTGTATGTAAATCATTAGGCCGAGCAATTGCAAGTTCTGTACGAATATTTTCGTGGCCGGGTGGACGAAAAAGCTCATCGGAATTTTTCTGATAATAGAGAGAAATTATACGCTTTTTACAATCACGAATTCGGAACATCATCTGGATAAATGCTTCGATATTAACTGGTGTCGAAATATTTGTAATACCTATAACTATGTCAAAGTAATTAGGTTTCTCAAAAGAAATACCTGCTTCTACTGTATTTGTATAAGCTACACAATCAAGTTCACCCCAAGCTGTATTAATATCTAAAAAGTCATTTTTTCGTTGTTTTCCATCCATATCTCCATAATAGGCGCGAGCTTTAAAAGATAATTTAGAAGCCTTTTTTACTAATGCTCGAGCCATGTTAGAGCTAGTTACAACAAACGCTACGCGTTTACCTTGTTTTAGAAACTCAAATCCTATTCGCATAGCTTCAGCCCCGCTATTTGGATCATAAAGATACTCAACGGTCTTACCTATAAGAGGCTGAAATTTATTATCAATCACTCGAATATTTTCACCACGATAGGCTTTGAGGAAGGCTAATGTTGACTCGTTTGCAAAGGCGTCCATTGCTAAAACATGTTGGGCCGATTTTAACACATCACGCATCGCATTCTCGGATTCTCTTGCTTTTGCACCACTATTCATTTGGCGTTGAATTGCATTAACTTCATCTAAAACAGCTACAATTAGACGGGCAGAAAATTCGATACGAGAAAGGCTTTCAACTTGGACTATAATAACATCCCATTTATCTATAGATAAGTTCTGTTCGTCTTGATAATTACAGATTTTGAGCCCTAACGATTTAAGTTCATTAATTTTGCCTTGTGATTCATTACTAAGAGTTTTTCGATAAGAAACCCAGATGAAACAAGGTAACTTGGCACCACTTCCGGCTAAAGAATTGAGATTTTCTCTTAGACCTTTTGTTTTTCCTGTCATCATAGGAGAGCGGATAAGGGTTGTACTGGATTTTTCGCTCAAGAAATCTGGATAAGCTTCTGGTGCATCTTCCATTTCCTTCACGTTAATAATTTCTCCGGGTAATTCAGGAAGTGAACATGGATTTGATACAGCATTGGCTATTCTTTCGATAATATTTTGTTTAGGTGATTCAGCTACTCTCGTTGCTTCGCCAAATACTAATCCCTTGTGATCTGGTTTATATTGTTTTTGCCGAAAACATTTGAGTATAAAACGTCCGTCTTTTAGAAGAAACCCGTATAATTGATTTTTTTCATGTTTAACGTCACATATAGGGCATTCTTCAGATAATTGCGCATTAAAATTCATAAAACCCTTTCCGATAGTTCCAATCTCGAGCCACCCATATTTTGCAATAACCAAATTAGCTCCTTTAACAAGTGCATTATCATCTTCGATAGGCTGGAATTTATCGGTTGGCTTTTCAGAAGAAAATGTTCGTGGCCAGATCACAGAATAATTCGATTTAGGCTGAACTAAATAATTTTCTAGCGCGTGAAATCTCTTGACTGAAGAAATTGCGGGCCTTTTGACTCTGTCTCCTTTTGCTGATCCAAGAAGCCGAAGGCTAAAACGCGACTTGGGAAGGCCTACATCAATAAACTTCGAGTAAGGTTTTCCGACTAATTCGATAACTTTTTCCGTAAAGCCCTTAAGATCTCTATAATCTACGAAATGAGCGTGAGGATAAATAATATGCCAGCTACATTTGTTTGCATCCGATGAACTTGCTAAGGCGAAACTAGGTACCATGTCAAAAGTGGAATATATTATATCTGTAGAAACATCTAAAATCCTCGATATCAAATCCTGACGAGTAATTTTTTCGTTGTCTAAATAAGGGATTTTAGGATTAGTAGGATCAAGTTTTTGTCTCGCATCGATATCAAGTATTAAGCGAAGGGGTTTGTTCCCATCAATACATTCATGTGTATCTGGCGTTCCATAAACTTCGGAAGGATGATCAATTACCGTAAAACCTTTTCCTGCTGTCCGAACTATATATTTAGAATTAATCTCTTTTGGACGATAAGCTTCGAAAAGTGCAATATCTTTTTCAAACGACCTTTTATTGTAATATCCATCATCATAACCTTCATCGTAGTCCTCGTCATAGTCTTCATCATAGTCTTCGTCATAGTCCTCGTCATAGTCTTTATTAGTTTTCTCTGAATTATCGGACGGAAGTAATTTTTGAAAGTAAAAATGATTTATATTACTAGGCTTGTAGTCAAGGTCCGTTAAATTCTGGAATTCGACTAATGGTTGCGCATCCATAGGTGAGCTTTTTGAATTGTCAAAAGAATCATTCTGAGACTTAGCTGGCAGATTACAGTATTTCGCATATTCTTCGAGCAAGATTGCAAACAAAGCGTCATCCTCTTGTTCAGAGACGATGAGTGGACTGGAACTGAGATCGGGATTTTTTTGCGTAGATTGTGTAGACACCATATGTAGGTGTAAAGTTTTCAGTATATCTATACATATAAAATCAAATCTCTAAAATAAAAAATCATGACCGCGTTTTTTTTTTAAACGCCATCACTTCTGTCAAGAAAAAATATTCAATTTTTCGGCCATGCCGCTCTGCTGAGAAGTGACACTATCTAATGCTCAGAATCAACGCGGTGATTTTTTTGTCTATCTCGCCAGTTGTTCTTGTAAATAGTTGTGGCATGCATCGTACAAAAATCAGTTTGGGAATAGGTCAGCTTATTGCAGAACGCACATAATTTTTTTGGCGGCGACTTGTAATGCCTGACACATCCTGACATTCGCAAACATTTTTTTCCACAGATAGATCCATCTTTTTTGATATATCGGCAAATCCAGGACTCTAATGTATAATTATTTTCAGCTTTGTCGGAGTGATGTGAGGTGGACTTCACTTTATCGGAAAGTAGCTCCATATAAGATAAATTTTTAAGATTATTATTACGTTAAATTTTCCTTTCGCTTTTTATTATAAGTGAATCGTATAAATATTCAAAACCCCAGCTAAATAATATTTTGATTTTAAAGATTCGAATTCACTAATTTGAAAAAAATAAATTTTATATAGTAAATACTCGGTATAAATATAGTCTACATATTCATCCCATAATTACAATGTCAAGAGTTGTTTCAAATCTCGTAAATCAAAATAATCTAACTCCTCAAATGAGCGTATATAAACTTAATAATTATGCTGAAGAATTGGATAAGGACCTGAAGGATTTCAAAGCGCGTGAACACGCTAGAAATAGATTTCGAAAATTAGGTTTTAGTGAAAAGCAAGTATATGCTCTTGTCCCCGTTCAAACATCCGGGAAACGTGTAACAGGAAGAGAACCTATTAAGAAGACTGCATTATATATTATGCAAAATAATTTAAAGGTAGAAGAAATAAATGAAATTGCGTATGATCTAACAAAAACAGCTCCCAGTGAAGTAGCTCAATCTTCACGTCTTGTATTGCTCCGAAAAGAGTTACGTAAACTCGGAGCTGATTATCATATATTGGAAGCTACAAGAATACCTGATATCACCTATGAATCAAATAAAAGGCAGAGGGAATTGCAAGAACTACGTGAAGATGAGGGATTCGACTGTCCAGACTTCTTTACTCTAGAAAAAGTACAAGAGCGGTTAGAAAAATGTAATACCGCTAGCTCTCCTTCAATGCAAAACTTAACAGATATAATGATAATGTTATGTATGAGACCGGCAGATGTAGAAAATCTTCGAATTAATTATTACAATCGAAATAATGATGAATGGTATAATTCTAAATATTCTTGGTACTGTACCGGATATGCTAAAAATAGAAATGAAAAAAGCGTACCTCGACCATTTGTATCAATGGAAAAGAATCCTATACGGGCTAGAGAATTACTTATCTGGATCCAAAAATCAATACCGGAGAGATTTCTATCAAAAGGAAAAGGTGGTAATGTAGACGTCAATCCGATTAATAACTTCTTAGCTTGTCATGGTATTAGCTCATCGCATTTAAGAAAAATAGGTTGTAGTCATGCCGTTATAGTACATGAAGGTAAGAATAATGCTCAATGTAAACGTCTCTGTCAATTAGCAGTGAGACATAAAATAATTAATATTGCATCAGACCATTATAGTATAATGAATAGCGGACCTAGTGTCAAGTCGCATAATAAACCAGATGCTGTAACAGAAATCATTGATATGTAAAATTACTAATTATGCGTTACTTCTTTATTAGACGTATATGTATATCATTTTCTATATCAGTAGAAAAATTAGACTCTGTTTCCGATTTCGAATTACTAAAACATTTATTTTGCAAGAAAAAAAAATATTTGAAATTATTCGCCCATATAGATATGCCAAATATGTCTTGCAAATCGAGGAAAATCGCTTAATATGAGTCGAAGACTCTATGCCTGCATATCTTGTCTATTATTATATACACACTAGAGATAAAAGTAAGTGAAAACGGTAAAGTTACCCATATTCAATAATGGCTAAAGATCGCTCCTTTAGTTCTTTTTTATATGGAGTAGTAGGAAGCTGCATAGTTTTTTCAAAGTCTCGCTTATATTCTAGAAAATCCGCTTCGACCATACTTTCACGATTTATTTTCCAGTAATTAGAATAATCCCGCAATTCAAAAGCAATATTGGATCTCCACTGTTCTAGCTTTTCTTTAGACATTTCAAATTTTTGCTGTAAAATCCCGATAAGAGTATCTATATCTGATTCACTTTTGATGATAAGTTCCGGTATTTTCGGGAAATGATTTATAATATTTTGGATTTGGACGGCTGTTAAACTAGAAATAGCGTCAGCACTATATGTAATTTGCTTGATTTTATCTATTCCTATTCCTTTAAACAATGTATAAATATTTCTGGCCTTGTGGGTTTTCATACGTAAATACTCTCTCTTGATACCAGGAAGATATGGTTCCATTTCATTGTAAATCTGTGTTCTTGCCATTTGATCGTTGTTAATTTCGTTTTTTGAGCTAATATCTCTGACCTTTTTTTCGAATTCCTCACTATAATAATACCAACGTAAAATTTCTTTCTGTCCGGTTTTTTTAGCCTTTTCAAATAAATGAGCTAAACGTAGTGTAGAAGAAGCAAAGCTTCGAATCTCTGATTCACCCAGAGCCAGGTCATCCCCGTCTAAAATATTTTCAGTAATTCGTTTATCAGATATAGAATTCGAATTGCTTTTCTCGTTAATAAACGCAGATAACTCATGAATTAAACCCTGTTCCACTTTCTGATTATAGGGAATTTTTAGCCTTGCTAGCTCCGCTATTTCAGTCGTAGGGTTTATTTTGGTAGAAATGACACTTTGTATTTCAGAAGAGGAAGAGATTTTTTGTATCGCTTCTTGATCTTGAAGTTTCTTTTCTCTGTTTCCCTCCCTTATCATATTACTAACCCTTTCCTTTTTGTTTAGATCCAGAAAATCATCAATCTCTTTGTCTTTCAACGATTTAGTTAAGTCGGAGACTCTGGGCTCAACCCATTCTACAGGGGCGGAAGACGCGTTATCAGATGTATTTTCTATCTGCTCGGAAGTTACAGACTCATTTGTTTCGCAGTGAGATAAAGTTTCTTTGTTAGAGTGGTCTCCAATAGGTAGAAAAGTTGCTTGTGGTTCTGAATAATCTAAGGATGAATCGGGGATTTGAATCTTTGCTTCTTGTGTATTAGTAAAAGTTTGAGTTCGCTTTTTGAATTCCTCAAAATCATATTCCAATTTAGTTACTTTGACCTTAAGCTGAGTATTCTCTTCCACAGCATGTTCTAATTCTTTGACTCTAGCCATAAGCCTGGCATTTTCTTGTTTTAATAAATTTAATTCGGATTCCATGTTCGATAATATTTTTTTATATATATAAATAGATTTATTCAAAATAGAAATATCACGTGCGTGTTATTTTTGATAACGCCGATCATTCTTGGCAAAAAAAATAGTCAAGCCTAAAACGAAAAAAATTAATTGCATTCTTGATCCGGATTTTGATGGACCTATCATTTACATTCTAAAAATAATAGTATACAACTATTTAGTCGCATATAAAAATAGCTTTGCCTTTAGTATAACTAAAGATTTTCAATGTTATAATAAATATTTCTTATCTGAAAATGCGCCTTAATCTTCTCTGTTTTGCGAATGAATAAGAGGTATCTATTGTTGTTATATAAAAACGATTAAGCTTATTTTTTCGACATCGAATGAGGCCTGTGCGTAGTATGAGATGTACCAAAGTTTTCGATTCCACCTATCAGATGAAATGCACAAATAATTATGATCGGCAAAGATAACAGATCGTCCATAGTAGATAAATTTTTAATGGGATTCAAGAAACCAGTGATTCACGATCTTTGAAATTATGTATATCCACAATAGATCGATTAATCTCACCAGAGAAATCTTTAGATATGTATAAAAACGGGATGAATTATTTGTTTGAATCACTTTTATACCTTGTAACATTCGAATAAAAAATTCATTAAATAAACCAATTATAACTGCGTAAAATTAAATCATTTATTCTTACATTTGTCAAAATTGAAGGTATGTAGGCTACTCATATCCCGTTGTATTATAAATGAACCACCATACTGACTGATATTATTTTTAGATGACTCCAACTGAATTTTTCGAAGCTCTCAAAAAAATGCCGTTAGAAAATTACTTTATTTTAATCCCTATATTTATCCTCATCGTAACATTGATATTTGGAGAAAAACTATTTATATACCTATTCATTGTCATCGTATGCTTCGGTTTCTATATTTTCAAACAACAAATCAATATGGAATTCGAATTATTAAAAGAGAAACGAAAAAAACGAATCTAATGAAATATATAATAAAATAGACGATCTTACCGAAAAAATTTCTTTGTTTTATGAAGAGTTCCAACAACAAAGATTTCAGGAAGATGATACCTTAAATAATTCGAGTAATCTTTCAAGTAGTCTTTCGAGTAATAATTCAAGCATTTTTTCAAGTGGTTCTCGAGGTAAGATCTTTAGTTATACTAAAGGCGAAGCTATTTCAACGTATAAATATATCTGCTACTTTGATGAAAGACTCTTAGTAAATCAAAATATTTCCGTATTATATTAGGTTCAAGACGCACTTCATTTTCAGACCCAGTTGTTCAGAAATTTAAAAATCTTTTCGACGAGACCATGCGAAAAAACGATTATTCTAAAGCCGATATGATTGCCGAAGTTGTGAGCGATCTTAGAAAGGAGGAAAATATCAAGGTTATTTCGAACAAAGCGGTAGATAGTTATTATACAAATCTTGGATCGAGCTCAAGACTAAAGAAAAAAATAAAACCGCATCTAACAAAATATTAATGAAGATAGCGATGATGGAATAAATTATAACAATAATAATAAATAGTTTTCAACCTGGTAGAGCCAAAGTATAGGGGCGTACATTAAACGGTTTAGGGGC